ATTCAGTGATTTTAGCAAATAAAAGCCCGAGCTATTAATCAAAGTTTTACGGTATATAGCAATTATAAGTAGCTTTGGATAAAAGCTTCCTCAAAATAAGTAATTATTATTATTACCTTAGTCAACTTTTGGGCAGAACCAAAAAAGTGTGTGCGAACAGGGAGGCCTTCAAACCTGAACACCAGTTCTGTCAGGGGAATGGGCCAAGAGTCCAGCAACTTACTGTGAGAAGCTTGTGAAGGCTCCCGAAACAATTGACCCAAGTTAAACTATTTAAAGGCATTTTAACCAAATACTGACTGAATAAATCATTCTCTCTTCTTCTGACAGAGATAGATAATGTTTACTAGGATCAAATCTCAAGAAACATACAGAACTGAGCTTAAATGTATTTGGCTAAGATGTACAGAAGAAGCACCAGATTAAGCGGATTGTGAGCTGTAGTTTCCCCGGTAAACACACCACCTTCTTCAGCGGAGAGGACACTGGGTGGTTATACATATATATTAACTTTCTCTGATAAGCTAGGCTAGATACTTTTTATCTGTTTTTTGTGTTATTCCACTGTGATTGGATTTAGTTACAGTCTTAGTTGGCTGGTTACAGTAAACAATCTCTGAAAGTCATCTTCTCTACCTAAAAGTTCTTCAGGAAAATGTTAAAAATGGCCAGAAATGTGAAAACATTTGGAAATATAGCCTACAACTTTTGCTGACTTTTGAGGATTACCAACTGATGTAGCTAGAAGGATACACAGTTTACGAGTAGTCTAACGTATATTTAAGGCCAAACTTATCATTAACACCAAATGCACTGCTGAGAGTTTAACTGCGCATAAATTTGCCACAGAAACAAGTTTGTCACTTTTTTTTATTGTTTACATTTGGCATCATGCACCACCATGCACCTGAAACGCTTTGAGGTCGGAAGTCAGATATTTCAACTTGGAAATTTGCCAGTTGTGACCGGTCTGGAACATGGCTTTTAGTTTATGGTTTACCATTTACAATGTGTGCTTCCATGGGAGCTTCCATTGTTGTGTGACGTCATTCAGCTGCTACTCGTGAAGTTGGAGTACATGTTTTTTCTCCAAGTTCACAAGTAGGAAATCCGACTTCAAGTGGCGATCTATGGTACTTTTTCTAGTTCTGTGCGTTTTTACCGTGTTGTTTTAATGCAGGCCATAAGCTAAATCTCCATATCTGGTAAATACAGCCAGAAACCAAGCTGGGGGCACTATATCAAGCTGATGTTAAAAATCAATAAAACATACATTACATACACATGCTGGGGTGAAGATATGTTTTAAATTCATCCTGATAAAGCAGCTTCCCGACCAACAAAGCAAAAGTCCTCTGGTTTGAACATTTGTGAAAATGTAAATAATATTAATAAAATAATACGCATCATCGTACAAACAGCTACTTGTCACTATAGAGCTACTGCAAAACAAGACCATTTTTTAATCTTTTATCGTATCATTCGCTCTGCAGAGAAGGTGATTGGTGACACCTCTCATCTCTTCTGGACCTGTACAAGGACTCTGAGGCGAGCAGGAAAGATTGCAGCTGACTCCTCCCACCCCGGACACAAATGTTTCAGACTCTCCCTTCTGGCAGGAGGCTGCGGTCC